ACATTCGAGCAAGAACTTCTGGTAAAGATATAAAGCAAAGAACTCTATTTTCTCCTCAAGTTTTAATACATTTATATTTTTTTGAACAAACAAAAAAAAAAAAAAAAAAAAAAAAAAAAAAACAAAAAAAAATGTCCCTCTACCTCAATAATCAGAAAATATACAGTTAAAATCCTGTTCGTAAACGAGTAGTGTGTTACCCGTGACAACAGTACGTATCTATCTGCAATTTTTGGTAATTAATCATTAAACATCTATTAATTATGTTGGCTCATTCCTGACATTTAATGCCTTACAGTTCGCTCAGTAAGTATTTAATTTCCTAAAAGATGTATTTTCTTCAAATTCAAATACCCAATAAGCTCTTCGCCATGCATAGTCCTGCGTCATTTATGGCATATTTTCCCAACGTGTGTGGTATCGTCTACCGGTAGGCAATTAGGATATCTAGAGGGATTGTACTAGTCCTAGGGCAGAAAGAAAGCATTGAGAAGTAAGTGAGCAATAAGAACAGAACAGGCGTAAAAAACTTGTTGCCTAAACATTCTTGAAAAAAGCATTTAAGCAATAATTATACAAATATTTCAGTAACACATCTTTACAAGAATCATACGAAATTATGTCAGTCAGTCCTTAACCCAATTTAATCCAAATTGCAAGTAGTGTCATTTTTTTATTCCAAGGAAACTGAACTTACAAACTATCAATTTAATGTTCTTAAAACATGACTGCAAATCCTGCTTGCAGCAATATGCATTATACCCAAGTGGAATGTTTTTACGATGTATACTGGTACTTAAATTTAAGAAAAATTTCTCTGTTAGTCGATTATCTGCAAAATCCATGGACAGATTTTAATGAAACACGGCTCATCGGCGCAAGAAGGTCCAAAATAAAGGTTGAACTTGAATAAGAAAGAAAGTTAATAGGTAATGCTGCCGTCTAAAATCCACACAGATCCCACAACATTACTTCATACTAGACATGATGCAGTTTATGAATTCCTGTGGCTGCCGGTTCCATTTCTGCAAAAGTGTTGTTTTCAGATTTCTGAGAGGAGATGGCGAGTCGCAGTTGCTCTCCCAACAACGTCCCAAACATGTTCTTTAGTATTTAAGTGTGGACATCTGGTTGGCTAATACATCTGGTTAATATATTCACCTTCCAGAAAATCATCTGCCAGATTAGCCCTATTCAGACAAGCATCATCGTTCATCATATGAACTGAGGGCCAACTGTATGACTATTGAAGGGGACCGTACATTTTATTAGCCTTCTTTATTGTTCGATCTTGCAACCTCTACTTTAGACCTTCCTGCGCCGTTGAGCCATAAGCGCGAAATTATGCGTGCATACTATGACTGTTTTACGACACACACGCAGGCCCTCACACACACCACAGACATCCATACACAAACACACACATACACGAACACATAGATACACACATATATATAGCATTACATTAATCTACATCTTTATCATATTTCAGTAAAATCTGCCATGAATTTTGGGGCTAATCGATCACATGTGAAAATTCTCTTAATTTTGAACACCAGTCTATATTATTGCACGTGCTGTAGCAAAGGTCTGTTCATATTTTGTAGGTTCACAATTAAAATGTGTTAAATCTTTATTCTTTACCTTTATTTTCTTTATTGCGTGATATTCGTTACCATTCTGTTTCCATATTGCGTGATGAATTTCAATTAATAATTTGATGAAATGCAAGTGTAATATATACATTTTTTTTTCCTATTTCCAGTCAACGCCTTCAGATTGCATTCAACAGACATTTAACGTGCCATTACCACAAGAGTAGGAGGTGCTTATCAAAATAAACTCAAACCGGTTGAGACATTATAATTTATATGAAAATATACGATTTTTCCCCCTTCATGTTTGTAACATTTTCTGTATGATCAAGATTATTATTTGAATATCTTTAACCGAAATGATTTAGAACTGGAAGGATAAAATTCACTTTTGACCCATAGAATTATGTTTCAGAAGGTTTATTGATTCCATCAAGAAATTGCTTAATAGTACCTAAGTATCAAAACAGGAGAAACATGGATTATTCATTCAAGAATTTGATTTTCCCCAGTGAGTGAAAGAGCTGACTGCAAGGGTTTTCTCCCTTGCATGTGGTTTTCTCCTTGTGTAATGTAAATACGAGTTAATTTCTCCTAAGGAGTCTTTCACAAAGGCATCTTGGACAGTAAGCCTTCAAGTGTTTTTTCACCACAGCCCAACTAAATAATAAGATAGTAGTAAAAATTAGAATAACTGCACTAGTTTCCAAAAATTAAGTAAAAATCACAAAAATAGCAATAACTCGTTCAGAAACAAGCCAATCCGTATAAAATTTTAATATGTTGTCAAATAAGAATTCCTGAGTAAAACTACAGTATGCAAATTAGTGGCACTGCAATCGAAATACGTCATTTGGAATGAGCGTAAAATTGCATGTTTCAGAGCAAGCTTTCAAGTTTCGCTGTGATAGTGAGATAAAAAAATTTGGGACAGCCAATTTGTAACAATGACCTCCAGGCATCATTTGCCCGAAAAACTGTGATAGAGAACTATTGGGAGACTAGAAGTAGGGAAAAGTCAGACAGCAGTGGCCAGATGGCTAAATGTGAGTCCTTCTGTAGTTCATAGACTTTAGCAACAATTTTTAACCACAGATTCGGCATCCAGTAATTTTTCAGCCAAGGATAGCCAACGGCTACGACGAGCGCTGATGATTGATATTTGTTGTAACGCGCACGAAGGAATAGAACCTTAACTCAGATCCTCCTTTGCTGTATCCGCCGAAAGGTTGGTGTCAACGTCAGCTATGCTAGAAGACTTCACAAAGGAGGTCTGCACTCGAGGTGACCAGCCATTTGCGGGCCTCTTGCATCACATCATAGAAGGGAACATTTGAGTTGGGAACCTCAACATGTCCACTGGACGGCTGATCAATGGAGGGCTGTTCTTTTTACGAATGAGTTCAAGTTTAGCCTCCAAAACGACAGTAGGCGTTATTTGATTTGGAGAGAACCTGGAACCGTTATCATCCATCAAACATCCATTCAGAGATGCATACGGAGGAAGCAGTGTCTGTGTTTAGGGTGGTATCTCTCTGAGTGGACGCACAGACCTGCATGTCATTCCACGTGGAACCACGACTGCTCAGGACTATAGAAATGATATTCTTGCTGTTTATGTGCGCCCTTATGCAAGGGCAATGGTGATAATTTCCTGCTACTGGACCACACCGCTAGACCGCACAGGGCTCGCATTGTGGATATTTATCTTCAGCACATGATGTGGCCAGCTCGATCACCGAACCTAAATCCTCTCGAGCATGCTTAGGATGCTTTAGGAAGACGTACAGTGGCTTTCAATCCTCTCCTTCAAGTCCTTGCCACGCTTTACAACTGCTTTGTAATAGCAATGGCTCTCATTTCCTACGAAACAGATTGCATAATTGACAGCATCGTACATCGCTGAATGTGTTGTATTGCTTCTAGGGAAGATCATACTCCACACTGAAGGTAATTTTCCTATACCAAACTGACACATCCGATTTTTTTTTTTTCATTTTATACAAATGCTAATTTCTGTAACACCATAATTGTCTCGTAATTTCTTTTCATGTTAATTTATACCTTGCTAAGTGTTGTATACTTTTTGAGTAATCGTCATTTTTGTGATTTTCCTTAATTAATGATAACCAGTGTATGTCAATAGAAATTATGTGTGGAAAGCAGTGAAATCAAATGTTAACCGTTATTAGTTCTGTAAGTGAAATAGATATAGAATAGCACGTATTTGTAATTAAACTGTTTTAAATTATTGACTGAAATCACTACCCGTTTCTCTTTTGTAGAAATCATATTATTCGAATACGAAACTACTTCTGTGTTCCTACGTTGCTAGAACTTAATTTTAGCCTCAGTGCAAGGAAGTCTCAGACAGAAAGATTAGGGTGTTTTGAAACTCTTGCTCAGCTGAGCTCCAGTATTTCTTTCTTTTATGTTTTATTTTTCTGTATATTGTTCAAGCTATTTCTGAAAATAAGTAACAAATAAAATAAATAAATAAATAAAATTTCAGCTGTCGCGAAAACAAAGGCCGCTTAAGGACATTTATGAACATGAAAAGCATTCCTAAATGTCTTCAAATACTACTACAGCACTAAAATATAAACCTATCTATTCATAAAAAAAAAAAAAAAAAAAAAAAAAAAAAAAAAAAAAAATTGAAACTATGATTAGAAAATATTTAAAATTTCGTGCCATATTTATTGCCAAACCCAGAACAAATCCTTAAACTCTATGAAAAATAACATAGAAAGATAAATTACTGAGTAATTAGAAGAGAAGGCTTCAATTTGCGGCTGAAAATCGCCGATGTAGTAACAGATTCTGTTAACGAAGAGATCAAAATAAGTTAAATCATAAAAGCAGCTGTAATTAGAATATTCACAGATTATTGGCAATACTAAATCTAGTGACATTACTCTAATGAAAAAAAATGCATCTTTCTCCCCAGATATAGCAACTTAAATGCTCCCAGATATACAACTTAAATGGTGCACGTCATGATGTTCAATATTTTATTTATGCTTCTGTTAGTAGTAAGTTCGTAAGTAATATTTACACTGTGATAAAAAAAAAATTCTAGTATTAAAGCTGATAAATAAACACTTTTTTCAAACGTTTTAGAAGAAAATGAATGAGGAATAATTTTAATTTTGGGGCTGTTAAATATTTCCATTAAAATTTGGGCAAACTATTTGTTTTCCCTTCTTGAAATAACTTCTACGGATGAGTTAATTTCACGAGCAATTCCTTCTGTGTTGCTTCTATATATGCGTTTACCTAGTTTCATCAACTAAGAACTTGGAACTTCTCCCGTCCGATTTTCTCGGGGCAGTCTGGCGGACTTAGATTGTTTGTTCACTCTCCGACTTCTTCAACCTTTGGCCGCGAAATGAAACTTTATTTTTCGCCAAATTAAAACCTTGGCGTCAAACAAACATGTAGCTCAAGCTTTTGAAAGCGTTATATTTGTTGTTGTGATTTTTGAAAAGTTTAGAGTAAAATGTTGACTGATATTGAGAGTTTTACAACTGTTGGCATTTATTTCCTATTTAAATTATTGTAAGTATGCATAAATTAGGGATTAATTTTGTGTCATTCTCATTAAATGTTTGTTGGTGGTTAGGATTATTTTTTATGGTTAACCCTAAAATGTTTACAAAGTGCGTTACGGAAGGTTATAAATAAATAAATTCTGATTAAGCAAAAATTTATGGAGGTCCATCATTGTGAATGATATCTTGTGGATATCTAGTTCTGAGTTCTTGATATATTAATGTAGAGTTCGCAACTTTCGCTAAAATTTAACCGGGTTTTTCGATTGTCAGAGGTAGTTATGGTTCCAATTACCACACATATTTGAGGTTCTGTTGTATAATTATGCATACCTGCCTCTAGTAGCAATCAATATATGAAAATACTAATTTTGTTTTCCGAGAAACCATTTAAATTTGTTATCTTAATTATGATAAACATGTAACTTAAATGTATAAATATATAAGCTTATCCACCTTCCAAGTGAATAACTTTTGTGTAATATAAGAACTATTAATGGAACAGTTCATTGATGTTAATGTTTCATTCCAGTTTTAATATATAACTGAAGATTGTTTGGCTTCAAGGATGCTGTTGTGTGAATTATGACAAGATAATTTTTCATTTAACTCAAAGAGGTAAATTTGCTGCCCTGCCTAGAGCTGTATTAACTACACCTGTATACTTTTATAGACATCAAAGGTAACTATTTTAAATCCTAATTCTTAATCCTAGTTCTAATTATTATAATAATATTTTTAATTATAGCTTTATACAGGGAGAAAGTGATGCAATGATTTTTCAGTTTTTAAATAAAAAATATCTTTTTGATAAGTAGCAAAAAACACTAAAGTAACACAAATAGTAATGTAACTGGCATGAATGTGTCACTCTTAATTTATTTAAGGATTTTTCGTGCCTTTAACAAAGCAAAATCATCAGGGTTTTCTTCCAAATACTACAAAAACCATCACTTGTGAAAAACCAGGCATCCGCTCATGCTTCATCAGGATTTGAATGCAGATTAACCACTGAATTAAGTGTGTAGCTTTTATATATAATTACAATTCCTGATTGCAAGGTTTTATTTATCTGTTCTGTTTCTTGGAATATTAAATTTAATGCAAAAGAGATTCATAACATTTTTTGACTTGCTTCAAGACGTTTTCGAGCCCATTATAATAATATATTGTTCCATGCCTTATTTGGTGTGTTACTATAATTATATAAAATGGTATAAATTGCTTTACTGAAAATTATATAGAATACTATACTGATTTTCCTCGCTTAAATATTAAATAACTTAAATATTTAGCTCTAGTGTAGAATTTAAATATTTAGCTCTAGTGTAGAATTGGGTGCCCCTTCGATTAGCGACAATTTTTTGTAAAATTTTGGTGATGAAATCTTATTTCTGGTTATCATGATAGTGTAACTTTGCTTTATCCTTCTGACTTTTTTAAAATAAAAATAGATTGATGTGTACATGGACAAATTTAAGCAGTGCGCAATGCCTAGTTTGTGCAATTCTAGGATTTTTTTTTAAGTGAAAACAGATCGATGTGTACATGGACACAGAGTTTATGCAATTCTTTGACTTTTTATTTTGGTTTTGTGTAGCGGCCATCTTGAAATTGTGTCTTCTTGACGTCGATCTTGGCGTCAAAAAAGAATTGCCAAAAAACAAGGGGCACCCAATTGTAAACTTTTACCAAATATTTAATAATTAAATTTCAGTTCAAGTTTTTGATTTGATTTGGTGAATTTATTAACCCTCTGAGCAGCACAGTATTTTAGATTCGTGGGGAAGACCGGTTTTTAAACAGCAGGTATTAATTGAATTTGCATAATTACTTATTTTAGTCTGTATTTTCATAAACTTACATTCATTAAGATGATATTTAAATTATTAAAGAAGGTAAGAAAGCAAAATATCTTAAAATATAAGCTAATATATGCCAATTTGCAAAACTTCTGATGACCGGATAAAGCCGGTCATAATGCTCAGAGGGTTAAGACAAATTAGATGAAAGCCTTCGTGGAGGACTTTCTATGGGTAAATCAGTTGTATTCACATTGTAAATGAGATAAAAATGACAAAGTATTCATAAAACCCATCTGCTTGCATTTGAGGCAGGATCGAACTACCAGTAATCTGTATGCAAACATACTGTTAGTTAGTACTGAGTATTATCAGTGCTTTATAACTTAGCTTCTATGTTAATAAAAAGGATAAAAATATATTTACACATGCCCCAGGTAAATTGCCAATTTTGGGCGATATATGAATACCGAGTTTGTGCAATTCTTTGACTTGTTATTTTGGCTTTGTGTCGCCGCTACACAGAGGCAAAATAACAAGTCAAAGAATTTCACTACCTCGGTATCCATGTACACATCAACCTATTTTCACTAAAAAAAAAAAAAATCAGAAAATTGCACAAACTTGGCATTGCACACTCCCTTGACTTTGTCCATATGCACATCGATCTACATTCACTTAAAAATTGTCAAAGTATCAGCCAACCAAAAATATATGACGGTAAGTTGAAAAATAAGTTTCCCCTGTCGACTGTGGTCAGAGTTGTGTATGAAAGTCAAAAAATAGAATGAGACATTAAAGATATGACATACCTTTATTTTTCAACATAGGTACCAAGTACATTGAGACATTTGTCATATCGCTTGATAAGCTTCAAAAAGCCCTCCAGGAAAAAATCAGGGCTTTGCATATGGAAATAAGACGCGTTGAACGGCTTGTTTCATTGTTTCACTTCAGTATTGCTTCCAAAGCGCCTTTCCCCGAGATTTTTCTTCGAAGCTGGAAACAGATGGAAGTCGCTTGGTGCGAGATCGGGACTGTATGGCGGATGGTGTAGGCGCTCCCAACCAAGAGTTGCAATATGCCGAATGTGGTCTGGCATTGTCATCCAACAGCAGAACGCCAGATGTGAGAAGGCCAGGCCGCTTTTTCCGAATCGCCTCTTTCAATTTCGACAGGGTTTCACAGTAGCGCGTAGCATTGATGGTTCCAACCTCCAAAAAGTCCAGCAACAAAACTCCTTGGGCGTCCCAGAAAACTGTGAGGAGCACTTTACCTGCAGAGGGAGTTGTCTTGAACTTCTTTCGGACAGGTGATGACGGATGTTTCCACTCCATAGATGCAGCCTTCGATTCTGGCGTCAAATGGTGGATCCACGTTTCATCCCCCGTCACAATCTGAAACAGAAAGTCATTGCCATCTTCATGGTAACGCACGAGATGTTCCAGGCTGACCCCCATGCGTTGTTCCTTGTGTGTCGAGGTCAATTGTCGGGGCACCCATCGTGCTGACACTTTTCTGTATCGAAGAATGTCGTGGATGATGTTTTGAGCTCACTCATGTGAGATTCCAAGTTCTTCCGCTACTTCATCGATGGTGATACGCCGGTTCGCTCTAATCATGTCATCCACCTTCCTGACATTTGCATCTGTAGTGGCCGTGCGCATCCGTCCAGCTCTCGGTATGTCCTCCACTTGCTGACGTCCATCACTGAATGTGCGACACCATCTCCGCACCATTTGCTTCGACATCACACCTGGCCCATAGACTTCCACGAGGCGGTTATGAATTTCTATTCCTGATACTCCACGTGCCCATTCATAGCGGATAACCGCTCTCACTTCCTCCTTTGACCACGAATTCAAAACGCACCTTCTCTCCATACCTACCGGTGCTCAAATGAGAGGCTGGTCTCCGTTTTGCGCAGGCACTGCAACAGCGCCATCTGCTTGATTTGCAGCGACCTCTACCCAATGGTGTATCGGTGACTTGCACGTTTTCCTGCTGTGTCGCCTTTCGCCATAGCCGTTCAACGCTTCTTCCATATGCAAAGCGTGAATTTTTCGTGTAGGACTTTTTGAAGCTTATCAAGCGATATGATAAATGTCTCAACGTACTCGTACAAGAATAATAAAATCAAGGTATGTCATATCTTTAATGTATCATTCTATTTTTTAACTTTCATACACAATTCTGACCACAGTCGAGAGGGGAAACTTATTTTTCAACTTACCTACGTACAATCTCAATAAACTACATTTAAATCAAACAACATAAAAAAAAAGAAATTCATCTTGGCACTACACAGAGGAAATATCCACTTACGTTATTTAGAAATTTCCCCATCTTCAGTCAAACAAAATTCCTTAACAGTATTAAAAAACTTCCTAAAATGATCTGAACTAGAATCTGTATACTGGAGTTGCCATATAAATTCACAATAAAGAGTAAAAAATATCCTGTCACGTTCGAGTATACGCATTTACTTCCAACAAACAGGGAACTTATAATGGCTAATAAGTAAACCTTCATTTACACACCAGTCAATTAATGCTTCCCCCTTTTTGTTCCATATCGTACGAAAACTTCAAATTAATCTTACCACATTCAGCCATTTTACCGTCTAAACCACAAAACAGCAATGTACCCTAACCAGCACACACCACAATCCCTTACAAATCTTTTCCCATCATTCAAATTCACTGCAATCATACAACCAATTATGTCATAATAGAGTTTCCAAAACATTCAACTACTTAGGTTACCATTAATGAAACAACTTCGCGATAATACAAGGGGCACCCTTAAATCTACTCTAACCATAAAAAGTATTACGAGTGCTTTAGAACTTAGTTTCTATGTTAATAATTTTTTATTTTATTTTTAGCCAAAAGGGCGTTAGCCCAGAAGGGCTATTAATTTCATTTTAGCATTTTGCATTGAAAATTTCTTTGTTAACATAAAGTTTCATGTTGTGGCCATTTTCACATTCTCATTTGTCAGGTAAAAATCCTCTTTGTTAAAAAAATGATATGACATCTACCTCATTATGTCCTAAATTAAATATATTTACTGTGATATTCACAAAAAAGCAGTGAATGTATTTTTTAATGAACAATCAAAAACATCATAAAAAGTGAAAAATAAAAGAACATGCGGTGAAAGCAAAATTTCAACACGGGTCTAATATATGATTACGTGGCTAGGTATAAGGATATGCAGCTGGTGCTAATATATGATCACCTGGCAAGGGATAAGAACACTCAGCCAAATTTTTGTAAGCCCGTGATTCACTCTCTGGGGACTGCTTAACAAAGAAGTACCAAAATTGAATTACTATAACCCTTTCCCTTAATTTTTCAGCAATGAATTTAATGTCAATTTTCCTAAATAATAAAATTAGGCATATGAAATTTTATAAAAAGCAGATTATAAATTCATTTTAAAGACTATAAATGCTGATAATCAAACAAGCTTATATTTCTTAATGATTATGTTTTAAAGCTTTACAATTTTGTTGTATAATAATTAAATATTATGTAATGTAGGAGAATGTGCAGCTCAGAATTCATGGTCAAAAACTATCGGATGTGAAATGTAAAGAAAGAGCACTCGATATACATCTCATGTATTGACTATCAGGAGTTGATTTGTCATGACTTCAGCGGAGTTAGATCTCAATTCCATATTTAGTTAGCTTCACTGGAGTTGGGAATCAAATGTGAATGGACCTTGAGTAATTTACAGGTAATATAACTTAATTCATCTATAAATTACTTCCAACCTAGAACCCTTAATTTTTTTCTTAAATATATGTATGTATGTATATATAGATGAAGCTACTCATTTAGAAATGCATCGTGTAGAATTAGCTGCTAATCTGTTGGTAATCCAAAAGAAAATGATAGAGCTGGAGTATTTTGTTGCCAGTGAAGAACATTTATATGACGATAAATTTGAATGAATCGAAATAAAAATAAAAATGCTCAGTATTTATTTGTTTGCTTTAAACATTTCTTTCAATGTTAGTTGTTTAATTTTCTCTTGTTTTTTGCTAATACGAGGTCCATCCAGGAAGTAGATTACGTTTCCGTCTGTGTCCGCTAGGGGCGGGGCTAGCGCGGCCATCTTGGGGTCAGAGCGTTGCGCAGCTCAGTCTGCATCTAGCCGTGCTAGTGAGAGGTTCGTGCTGTGCTCCGTTCAGATACTGTGACGGTTTGAAATGTCTGCGTTAATTGAAAATCCCGCGAGCTGCGAGGTGCGCTCAGTAATAAGGTTTCTGACTGCAAAAAACTGTAAACCGATAGAAATCTATCGGCAGCTTCGTGAAGTGTATGGGGACAACATTATCACTGAAGGTGGAGTGCGTCAGTGGGTCATAAGATTTCAAAATGGCCGAACCAATGTTCACGACGAAGATCGAAGTGGGAGACCCAGCATAGTGACCGCCGAACTTCTCGAAAAAGTCGATGCTAAAGTCCGTGAAAATCGAAATTTCACAATAACGGAACTTTCTTTGAGTTTTCCACAAATTTCGCGAAGTTTGTTGCACGAAATCATCAGCGAAAAGCTTGGTTACCACAAGTTTTGTGCAAGATGGAAGGCAAGAAGAGGTAACGAAGTGGTTGAAGGCGCAGGCGGCCGAATTTTTCGACGAATGAATTTCCAAGCTCGTACATCGCTACGATAAATGCCTTAATTTGTATGGTGACTATGTAGAAAAGTAGTATTTGAGTGTGGCTTTCATCTGTATATAATAAAATTTGTTTCCTATACTTTGTTTATTTTTTTATTCCAAAACGTAATCTACTTTCTGGATAGCCCTCGTACTTTCTCTTTGATTCCATAGACAGACATAATTTCTTTTTGATTCTATAGACAGTTACTAAGTTCCTTGCTCAGTTTCTGTAACTGCCACGTCAAGAAGTTCCACTAAATTATCAATTGAAATTTTTTCATTCTCGATAACATCCCTATCATTTTCATTACCATCTGTAGTGATATTTTCTGGATTTAGAACCAAACTAAAGAATTTGCCATCCGTTTGTCGATTGGTAATTAGAACATTGTCATTACAATGAAAATCTTCTGTTACATCATCTTCATTTATTTCTATCACATGCTGTTGAAGGTAAGCCTGGATATTATTTATTTTTTATCACACTTTTGCCTATTTCCTGCACCTGCTTAAGGCTTATCTGAGTCTCAAATAACTAAGTTCCCACATGTACTTAAAGTTTGCGGTCTCTGCAGTTCCGAAATTCTGCTCCCAAGTGCCTTTCAAAATTTTAGTTTTGACCCCCACCAAATTTTATGTCCCAATGCCTTCACTAAAATTTAAAGATTTTGGTGTTTCTGTAAATTCTAAACATTTTGCAGCTGCACCAGCTTTGGCATCAGCTTTGGGTTTATCTGAATAACAAAAATTATAGCAAAGTTAACTGAAGTTTTTAATCATTGTAAAAATGTAAAGTCAGCATAAAAGGTTACCATGCTCTTATATTAATTATATTGAAAAAAAAAAAAAAAAAAAAAAAAATTAGACATCACTGCATGATTCATTTCTCAGGCTGCATTTTGTTTATAGTCATATGGTAGATCAAAACAAAAAATAAAACGTTGATTTACCAGCTTGCCATCAGAGATATAAATTATTCAGTAGGTATAAAATTAGTGTTGTTCCAATGTAGAATATTTTGGTTTGAGACGTATGCCAACTAGAAAAGTGGCTACAGAGCCAAATTGTTGATCATACAGCTATGTTAATAAATGATTGTTTCTTCAGTTTGGAGGTATTTTATTTAGTGCCAAAGTAAAATTAAGAATTGGGATTCTTCACTGTTTTATTAATGAAAAAATGTCAAATGCACAAGCATATGAAACAAAAAAAAATTAATATAAATTTAGAAAAAAAGAAAGGATGCTAGTGATTGGGAGGTCCAATTTTTAGATCGTTCCAGATATTGGATTTCTGCATTTCAGACTTTGTACTGTATTTATTAATTACCATTATTAAATTAATTCATTAATAATTATTTATTATTCATTAATAACAATTTGTTTCAGTGTTGAGGCTTACTAGTAAAAAATAAAATATTAAAAGTGTGACTTCCATATGACAAAAATTCAAAGCTGTGGATGTTAACAATTTGTTTTATGCCTTGACAAGAAATTTAAAATGGAATCCTAAATTTAATGTTATTTATATATATGTTTAAAATTGTGAATTTTTAGATTCCAATAATGTAACCAACAGTATGTTTATGATCTTAGTTTTGTGATTTCTATTCTGCAAAATGTTTTGATGTTATCTTGTATATCACTAACTTCCAAGCTTTATTAATGAGAATTAAGCAACTGAGAATATTATAATAACATTTTTTAAGTCTCATGGGTCTGAATTCTGTGTCTGGTTACTGCAAAGGACCTCTGAAAATCACTTGCTGCTTACTTGAATGTTCATCACCATTCATGATCCAGGACATTTTACTTGAGTAATTTATTTGTGTTCCCATTTTATTCAGATTTTTAACAGTTGTGCAGTTGGTAGTTAGTGTTTGTAAGTTGGTTGTAAGTGTTTTGTAGGTCAATTAAATTTCCGAAACATTTTTGATTATTTTACAACCAGGTGCAACTTCAGTAGGTAATCATTTTGTGAAGATTTTTAAGTGGCTGAATGGAGAAGATCTAAAAGTGCGGGAAATAACATATCTGATTCAGCACAATGGAAACAAATTTTTTAACTTGAAAAGTGAATTAAAATAGTTCAAAATGATGAGTTAAGGTGTCTAGGAGAGGAAATATTGAGAAACTGAGATTGAATTTCTTAAACCTTTTGTTTAAAATAGCTTGATAAACAATTTCCAACAGTGTAACTGCTGTCTGATTAGTTTATGCAAATGAATGGCGTGTTTTCAGGTTAGGTTATTTGAATACAGCAAATTACACAAAAGCTGTTTACTTAAGGGGAGATGCTTTTGTAGATGACTTTCTATGGGAACTGGCTTGTATTCACATCAGCATTAGGAAAAAACCCACAAAAACTAATTATGCAGCCAGCGCATTCATCTGGTTTTGAAACCTGCTCAAATGAACAGTATTCAATGGTCTTAACCACTCAGCTACTGGTAGATCGCCTTGTTTACAGAAATGAATTTTATAAAAGAAATTCCATAAATTTGATGATTAATGAATATAATTCCATGTGTGTTTTAATAAATATAAATCTATGGTATATAAATGTAAAACGCTGAGCATCGATAATGTTCATTCTTAGAAATCTCATCAGTAAATTATTTAAACTAATTTTCATACCAGCTATTTTTTGCATTTGTTTGTATGCCAATTTTCAAATTTATTAAGTACAATTTTCCAAATACTCCTCCATTCAATAAGTATTATTTAAAACATTTTCAAATTTGCACCTAAAAAAATTACAACAGCTATTGTGAATTAATTTATGCATCATTATTTATCATTTTTATTTCTGCCAGTTTTAATTTTTCTTTGTTGTTAATGGAAAATGAAAGAAAAGAGTGCATCATTTTTTAAGTAGTTCAAATTGTGAGAGTTATGTTAAAAAAATAGAATAAATGTATGTTGTTTCACTCAAACACATATCACACCTATTTGAAACTTTTGGTGGTTATTGCATAGTGATTATTTTGAAAAATGTTTGCTAATGTTAATACAAAAAAGAGTTCTTTTCATAATCTTTTAACATCAACATTACATAGTGTGCTAGTCTTATTTTTATGATAGTTTTATTTATGAGAACTTAAGAGTAATGTTTTGGAAGAGTTAAAAAGTAGGAAGAAGTGGTAAATCTCGTTAAGTACAAAAATTAATGTGGGATAAAATATTTGATTTCCATTCCTTAATTGCCTTATTAAACCATAGATTGTGAAGTTGTGTAAAAAAAGACTGTTTCAGAGTTTTGTAGCACATTAGTGTCCAAACAGTAAAGTCAGTGGTAGTTTGACTAGGGTTCTATTCCAGGAAAAAAAAACGAGCTGACTGCATGAGTGTTTTTATGTTTTCTCTATGTGTAATGTGGCTATGAGCCAGTTTTTTCGTAGAAAGTTCTCCTTGGCGGCATCCCTCCCCTTAGATAGCTGTGATGTATTTTGCTGTAATTAAACTAAACTTTAAATTATGAATCTTCCTTCAAGATTGTAATACTAGTTCTTTTGATTCTGTTATGATCTTTTAAGTCTATTTTATTACATGTTTATTACCAAATTTATGTTAACATTGTATATATTTTATTGAGTGCAGAAGTGTATATTGTGTCTTACCTCCTGCTGTATGGTATAAAATTTTTAAATTGGTCTCATTTGCTATATGTTCTTAAATAATAGCTGTTAAATTCATTCAAAATAATTTTGAAGTGTTTCATTAAAATTTTGGGGAAGGGGATTCTTAAATTATTGTGTAAAGTAAAAGAGTGACTAAAGAAGTTTTAGTATGCAAATTTTTTAATTACAGCTATGCTGGCCAAATGGCTCTTCATCCATGTAAGGGAAATTAACATAATATAGTAAATGCTAAATGCAGCAGTCTTAATTTTTGCATCCTAACTGGATGTCAGCCAATACTTATGGACAGGAGAAATGGCATTTCTATTGTAATCGTTCACAAATATGCATCACATAGTGGCTTTTCACTTAGCTATTGCATTGATGGTCTCTTTGCAAGTGTGAGTTTGTAATCTGTGAGTATGGAAAAATTTTTTAAAAAGAGCTTAAATTACACCTGAGACAGCTCCAGTACTTTTTTTTTTTGAAAAGAAGATAAATAGTAATTTTATTTAGACTGCACTGGAGCTCTGAATAAGACTGGCTTAGGTGCTTCTTTATGAAACTAATCCTCAATTCCAGCAGAAAGTTCTTTTGATCCCTTAAAATTTTATTCTGGTAATAAGAAGGTCTTAAAAATTGTTTCTGACTTCTTAATGCATACCTGTCCTTCTCTGGGAAACAAGCCCTTGGCTGTAAGTTGAGACTTTAAGGAAAGAAAAGCTTTGTGTATGTTCTTAAATGCACTCCAAGTTACGATGGCCTTAATGCAATAAATATCAATATAAACTCTCTATAACACTCTCAGATATCCATTGCTAGTGTCTTTGCACAGAAAAGAGCACATACAGATTTTTCAGTCATATAATCAAATATGGAAGATGAAAATAGGCACTTGTACGGAACCCATTATTTTTTTTCAGTGTCATATCAGTTCTTAGATTTGTTGGAAATTTTTTCCTCCTGTCACATTCTGTTGACAGCTAGAATTATATTGGTAGTGGATCATGGTTCAAAAGTGTCAACTCTTATCTCTTTGTTTATATACCTCCACTGTATTCAAATTTCCTTCCGTAATTTTGAAGTGTTTTTAGCTTTCTCTAATTGTTCATTATTGATGCTTTAACTGTGCTACCTTTTTTCATGGTGTGCTAGGCAAAAAAAAAAATAGATTTTTTATAATCATTCCTTAAAATAGTGCATTATACAGTAAAAAGTCCGTAATCCGGACGTCCATTATCCAGAATGATCTATAATCCGGACCTCAAAGCCACAAACTTACGCATGCATGTTTAATACGCGTAAAACCAGTAAAGCGTTTACACATGCGCACTTTCGATGGTGAAGAAAGTGATAGAGAGGTTATTGAAAACGAAAAAATTTCGATTGACAAGTTAGTCGGTATTCTTGACACAGTAGTTAAGGGATTTGAACAGTGGAACTTTGTAACTGAACAAGAAATTATGTCTGTTTATTAAAGAGAAAGTATTAGAACAAAAAACAAAACAACTTACATTGAAAGAAATGTTTAATAAAGTAAACAAATATATATTAAGCTTTGTTTTTGTAAATTTTGATACCCTTTAGATCATAATTGCTCTTTATTTCATAAATTATGGTTTCATATTTTTAATTGTATAATTTCTGCATGCCATTTTACCAGATTTAAGTTGATGATCTATGATCCGGAAAAACCCCTAATCCGGAATTGCTGAAGTCCCGACGAGTCCGGATTACACTCTTTGTACTGTACAATATATTCAGGGTTTAAATTCAGCTTGAACCCAGCTTTGTTGTTTCCTACTTTTTGAATTAAATTGTAATTGCACTCTTGAGTCATGAACAAAACAATGTCTGGCATTTTATTATATTATTGAATTGTTTATCATAAATTTAAAACTTGTATTAAATTTTTATGTATTTCCTTGCAATTCATCAAATTTTAATTTCAAGTACTCTATTTTAGTTATTAATAATTTATAAATTATTTTCTTTATTCATCTTTCCTAATAGCTTTTCATGGTGCTCCAGCACTTCTAATTTTAGGATCTAAGTCCTAATGTTGAACGTGGTTTTATTCTGTAGCAAAAGTCACAGAATCCAGTTCCTGCTTTTTCCCCCTCGGGTCAGGAATAATATTTTCATAACAGATTATGTAATTAATGCTAGATATTGGTGGTGCCATAAACATCGTCGTATGTTTATAATTTCAGATTAAAATGTCTGGTTGGAATTAAAATTTACTTGAGAAAATTTCTTTAAAAGAACCTATAATTAGGGACATTTTTCTGCCAGCTATGTTGTTATATATTGTAAATTTACTAAAAAAAAATTACAGTGAATAGTACTTTCTGATAATACTACTTCCAGTTTCAACATTTGGTGGAATATTCATGTTTTTTGCTTATTTTTTAGGATGTGACAACACATAGCCAGTGTGAGCACATACCACATGTTTGAGTACATACTGATTTACATGCTGCATTTTGCTGAACAGTATCTACCAGTTGTAAAAAATGTAAATATGACATGTAAGTTTCTTTTTTTGACAAAACATTCTGCTTTGATAGAAAAGCTGTTTTATTATTTATAAACCAAATAGTGCCTATAAGCCATAAAAATAACCAACCAGATGCTTTTTTTGCAATTTTCAAGTTGGTAACTTTTTGTGGGAATTTGGATAATCAGAAATTACCCAAATGAGTTTTATGTAGTATTATTTATGTTGTTTTGTACTGCAGCCTATCTTAATTATTTTTTCCCTATAAGGTAAATTAAAGCAGTGGTGTGCAACATCCTTCTGATTCAAAGATATATTGTTTGCCAGTCTGGCTCCAAGTGTAGCAAGGACATGTGCCATTTTATACAGTCTATTTTGTGGGGTTGTGAATGACTGAAATACCATACTGTGTACCTCTTGGATTCTTTATTTGTTTGAGAACCCCAGAAAGTTTTATGACAATTGTCGTTGAGAAGTTGGATAGATTTGCCTGTTAATGTAATCAGTTTGTTATTATAATAATGTAACAGAAACTTAAAATGGAGTAATAATAAGACACAAAACTCAATGCTCACAAATCGGACAGATCACAGAAAAGATATGAAAATTAGTTTCTAGCATCTAAACCATGTTGAATAGATTTACAATCAGCATGATTTAAACACTTACAGACATTACAATTAACCCTATGTTGTAAACCAACAGTGAGATTTAGTAGTTAGCTGAATTACGAGTTAGGGTTTACTGTGAGAGTGATTTGAGGAACTTTACAATGTATTTCATGTGCTAAGGAAAAATTGTTAAACACCTGCACTGTCCTTGAGGTATTTCAGCTATTATGCATTATATGCTAATTATTGTGCCTATTTTCCTAATAAATTTCATTTCTTGCTTGTCTGGACTTATCATTTAAAGAAATATAAGCAATTCCATGGCTTGCAACAGTATCCTTGCCTTTTATAGTATATTATATTATACATCAAATTATGGTTACTTCAAGCTATCCACATAGCATACATTTGAATTCCATGGTGAAACTGTTATTAACATGAAGTTTGATTCATGTTAATCTATGAATCAGAAGTCTGTCCAATACCAGTCTGTCCTTTATGCATATCTGCATATTGATGTCTTTAGTTTTATGCATCTAGTTTTGCATTTTTTGTTAAAAATGCTCATATGCTTTTTGCAAAAATATGTGACAAAAATATGCATGGAAATACTTTGGTTGTGCTTATAACAATGTTAACAGTATTTTTGTTCTGCAAAACCAATATTGCGTAAAATTGCGCAGTGTATGGTATGGAACTTCTAATTTATTGAATATCAGTAAATTATTTCTCCTTGGCTGAAACTTCTGATTACAAGTGCAGTGCTGTATAAGCCAAAGTTATGCAACTTATTAATATATTACGTGTCAGTAATAGGTATTACACAGCCTGTGTTGGTCACTGTCTTGTACTTCTAGGTTATAAATGATGCAAATACTAGTTACAATTACCTTTAAATTACATTTAAAATATAAGTTTTGTAAAAAGGGTAATAAAGTTTGATATCTGTATGACAAAAGCCAACCAAGATGTTTAATTTCAGAGTTCATGATTTTTTTGCAAGATTTTTCAGTGCCAAAAGGAAATCTCTGTTACTTACTTCCCTTGAGGGGTTAGTTGAAAATTAAATTAGGATAAGTCAAGATTGATTTTCCCCTCATTTAATGTCATTTAGTCTTTTTACTTTGCAATTTGCTAGAGTTCAGTATTCTTCAGTTCATAATTTTGTTACATATTTTACAAAAAGCACTTTTGTTAAGTTTGATATGACAAAAGCACTTTCATACAAGTAATTCAGAAGTTTTTCAGATGCAAAAATTATGTAAGTAATAATTGTTCACATTATTGCTAATAATGCTAATTATAGGATTATGACCAAAGTCATGCAAAAGAATCCATTACCAGCATTGAGTAAGATACTATATGACATGTCAGTGCAAAAAAAAGCTATTACTGTTTTTAGAATAATGAGGGAAATACCAAATTAAAATTAAGCATTAAGGGGCTATTGCTAATTTAAATTGTAGTTTATATCTACAATTTAGGTATTATATGGGCATAATCAGAAGGATATCATTAACTCACATCAAAGTCTAAGATTTGGAAACTGTTGCTTAAGAAAAGACTTAAACATTTAGCATTCATTTTTATTTTGAGAAAATTTGAGTTATGACTCAACACATAATTCTGCTGTATCAATCTCATGAGATATGCATGCCTTAGTACAAAACATTGAAAAGGAACAGAAAATAAATGCGAGTAGAAAACATTAGAGGGAGATTAGAGCACATTCGTTACTGACATGAGGAGCTAACTGATGATAATGTTCTTTGTGTGTTGTCTGTCTAGAAAATAAGTTTGTTGGAAGCTGCTAATGCCTTTATAGTTTTGCAATAGTATTTGGGTTGAAAATAATTCATTTTTAACAGTCTGATCACATTAAATTATGTTCTGTAAAAAATAAATTCCTTGTGTTTGCATATGAACAGGCAAGACTTAAAAGTTGGAAGTAGTACCCAAATGAAAAGTGCCAAATTAGATTCTTATAAACTTTAATAAGGAAATCTGTTATGCTGAAAAGGAATTTCCATCAGCAGTAAGTGCCATAGTTTTAAATTTAACATTTATCACATTTCCACCCAAACCACAAACAGGCAACTTTATTGGTTCTCTTCTCAACTGCAAATTATTGGCAAAATTAGAAGTTATAAAGTTTTCTTGACTGCATAAGTCTAACAAACAATATCCTTTAGTATAGCATGCATTTTGGGGGTTCCATACAAAAACTGGCAGTTGTCAAAAGAAGGTTTTATTTTTGTTCTCATTTCAAGTTGAAAAATTCTGTAGTTTTTGTAGTAACTTTCTTTAAATCTGTGGGGAAATTTCTCTCATTGGAAGTACTGCTGGCTTTTGATATTGATTAGTAGGTGAACATTCTGAAACTTGAGAATGATGTTCATTGGTGTAATAGTTGTTCTGATTACAAAGCAAAAGTGAATTAAGTTTGCTTCTACGAAAACTGCATGCATGTTTTGAAGTCCAAGAACTCAACTTGTGTGACATATCTAAAACAGTTTGAGCACAGTTTATAGTTTTTCTACATCATCAAATCTTTTTATAGCTTTCATTTCTAAAAACAGTGGGCATTTATACAATGGATGAACATTTATACAAAGTATACACACTTAGATGAATTTGGTTCCACAACAAAATTCTGATTCTTAATGTGGTTTGGAATAACTTCATTTCTGTTAGCAAGTAACTGTCTTCCTTGTATATTTTCGAGGTTCTTACATTAGTTAAATAATTTATGAAAGGTCTGTCAGGCAGATGTATGGGATGTTGAAGGCATTTCAAATTTGCATCTTGACTCTTTATCGAAATTTTCTGCCATTAAATCGATTAAAATTATTTCATTTAACTGGTTAGGTTCTAATTCCATTAATTTTAGTCAGTTCAGTACTCATTATTATTGACTTAAAAAAATGAGCTTTAAAAAGAAACCATTCTTGGTAGTTTCCATTGAATTTTGGCAAGAAAATCTCTGCTAGTTTTACTGAATTTTCTTTATGTGATGGTATAACATTACTATTTGAAATGCTATATTTGCTACTAGGCTTAAATAACTGAAATGTGGAAAGCAAACATAACAAGCTTATAAGAGAAAAATTAAAAAGGAGTGAATACTGTCACAATAGAGGGAAAAAATGCAAAAATTTCAAGTGCATAAAACAGAATAATAAAACATTGTTCTAAGAATGTGTGTATATAAACCTTTTAAAGTCAAATATTTTTGCCAGAAAAGAAAATGAGTTAAGATTTTACTTTCTTTTTAGAGCAGAGAAAATCACATCAGAAGTATTTAAACATTATTGAGATTGAACATATATTATATCAAAGCAGGAAACTAACTGAAAAATCTTAAGATTTATATCATTGTTTCACTGTGCTTCATCAAGAAAACATGCGAAATTAAAATGCATGAAATAATTCAATATAAATCTGAAACTAAGGAATGAGAAAAGTTCCCAAAATAATTTTAAAGCATTAATTTTTGGGGGTGATAAAATAGTATTTAGATCATGACAGAACTTAAAATGGAAGGAAACTTAAGTGACTATTTTAACCATCCTTGCTGCAGTGTATATCACAGTGTAGTGAAAAGTATTAAAATAATTGAAGATTGGGTGCTCTAGTACAAAGAACGTCTATGTAAAAAAGGAAAGGTTCTATAGACAATGTAAACCAGTTTGTTATTATGCCGTTTGAAAGCAGAGGAACAAATTTGCCAAGGGATTTGGCAAAGGAATCTGGTGGTGAGAATTTTCCCCTGTGCGAGGAAATGTGTTAAGAAGAAACATTCTTTGACTTTTCACGATAATTTAAACTTTGATTTTCATACTTTTTTTGGCTCAAAATAACAATACATATTCTTTATCCAGTAGTAGTTGCTGGACAAGTTTTTTTTATTAAAGTATCTGGCAAAAAAATACTGTTATAAAATAGTAATCCATTTTTCAAATGTGAGGACAGATTGCTAAGAATGAATGCTACATTGGGGAAATACCTAAAAACATTAACTATCTTTGACATATTGTATGAGAAAGAAGAATTCTGTTACTACTTTATACAAGTTTTGTTGACAGAAGCTAATTTAACATTTTTGGCTGCTTAGCCAGTTTTTACTGTCAAGAAATTTAATAATAATTTCAAAAGTAGCACTTAAATGCATCAACAGAACATGAGCAGTTTTAATACTGAGGTTATGGCACTTTTCAAAATTATAATCTTAATTTTATTACCGTGAGGATCACTGCATACATAGTGATTATTTAAAAGTAAAATTTGAAATCATAAACTCAATAATTCTAAATTCATCTATGACTGTGTTCATAAGTATCCTGCTATAAATGAGCAACTCTTGCTGACATTGAATTACATTCATATTCATAATACCTTTCTAATTTATATGTTTAAACCT